GTGCGTGCGTGCGTGCGTGCGTGCGTGCGTACGTGCGTGCGTGTATGTGTGTGTGGTCGGTGCGTACATTATTGTATAGCTCTATCTTTCTGTGAGTGTGTTGCGTACGGTGGTGATCGTATATTGTTACATCGTACCATAGCAACAGCAGCGAATGCCATCTGCGTTTCAAATGGCGGCGCATAGATGTAGATTGTAGAAAAATTAAACAATAAAGATATAGATAGCAAAATATAATCGAAAGTAGTATGTTGCTTCTTTTTTTTCTGTAACTTTTTTATTAGAATATTTACAGTAACGTTCACTTACAACAACGATGTATATATATATATGTATATGTATATATATATATATGTATATATATATATATTATAGTATATAGTATCAAGCGACAACGACACATGGGGGCAACAGGTAATTATTCATAGTAATGATATATATGATGATAATAAATCAGGAATATAAGTTATACTCGATATACAAACCCATCAGCATTTCACATGAACAGGTTATAAACACACACGCACGCGCGCACGCACGCACGCACACACACACACACGCGCGCGCACACGCACGCACGCACGCACGCACGCACACACGCATGCACACACACGCATGTACGCACGCACGCACGCACGCATACACACACACGCACGCGCGCACGCACGCACACACACACGCACGCACGCACACACACACGCATGCACGTACGCACGCACGCACCAACGCATGCACNCACACACACACACGTACACGTACACGTATCTACATTGTTGCCTAGTGAAGTTCCCATCATATATGGTATATTCCACCTCCTCCCCCAGGATCCCTCTCCCTGGAAACATGTGTAATGCGTGTCTCTCATCCTTCCCCGACACGCTATCCTAATCTTTTTTCTCCCCGATGAGAAATATTGTTTCCCATTGCCAAGGAGGAAAAGGAGGAGATGGCAGTTTAGTGATATGTGCGGAAAAGTCTTACTATTCCCTATGAGAAGGAGGAGAAGGAGGAGGAGGAGGAGAAGAAGGAGGAGGAGGTCGAGGAGGAGGGGGAGGTGTGGAGAAGGAGGAGGAGGTGGAGGTTGAGGAGGAGGAGGAGGAGGAGGGGGAGAAGAAAGAGGTGAAGGGGGAGGAGGAGAATGAGGAGGAGTAGGAATAGGAAAGTAGTATAGTAGAGTAGAATAGGTGGTAAGTAAGTAAAGGCAATATGAAGCAGTTTCGTACTAATTATTCTCAAATATCATGACGTCATCGTCCGGATGTGATACTATGTTGATGTGCTTGCGATTCAAAGCGGAAATGACGTAGGAACACGTTGGATGACTTGACTGAGACTTGAGGATGTACCGATACAACAGTTATAGTAAAGTAGTTATAGCATGGGTAAATAGTTACGTAACGCGGATACAGCATGGTAAGTAGTTACGTAACGCGAATACAGCATGGATTAAACAGTTACGTAACGCGAATACAGCATGGGTAAACAGTTACGTAACGCGGATACAGCATGGGTAAGTAGTTACGTAACGCGAATACAGCATGGGTAAACAGTTACGTAACGCGAATACAGCATGGGTAAATAGTTACGTAACGCGAATACAGCATGGGTAAACAGTTACGTAACGCGAATACAGCATGGGTAAATAGTTACGTAACGCGAATACAGCATGGGTAAACAGTTACGTAACGCGAATACAGCATGGGTAAATAGTTTCGTAACGCGAATACAGCATGGGTAAATAGTTTCGTAACGCAAA